CTATCACCTTATGTAAGACGGTATAAAAACTACTAAACATGAACAAAGAAAAGGTTTTGAGTGTGTAGAACAAATGTGTGCAGAACAAATGTTTAAAATCCTTGTTTTTGTTAGCTGTAGTGGAGCAGGCCTGTCATTAGTGCCTCGCTGCTGTTAAATACGTTTCTTGCCATCTCCTGCAGCTCCTGTGGGAAGCACAGGAAGTGTTTTTTACAGCTGTTACAGTAAGCTGCTAGTAAAAAACCAGGAGAATTTGGTTGTATGTTAGAAGACTTTAATCTCCCTCTGCCTCACGTGTGGCACTGCCTGCCTTTAATCTCTTGTTTTTGCCTTTTATCGAGCCGTAAAACAACAGTGTACTGGTTTTAAAAAGGCTGTGAAGCCATTGGAACCAGCAAAGCTGCTCGTTTGATCCAGGAAGGCTCCAGCTGTGCAGCAGACTGTTCACTCAACGCTTTGTTCCAGCTGTTTCAATTGAAAAGAGCAGGGCAGTCAGCTCTGATGCTCTCATTGAATGTGTTCTCACTGACATGAGGTGTGCAACTGTTCACTTACTCTTGGTTAAAGTGTCGTTGATTCGGAAGCTGCACAAGACTTTGTCAACATTTCGTGCATGAAGAAAGCCGTTTCCTCTCACCACCACCTGGAAGGACTCTGGTTTGATAAAAAGACACAGTGTCACCTCAACAACTACACATAAACTGCAATAAATCTGATTATTTTGATTAGGCCTGTCATGAGAACACATTTTGCGGGGCAATTAATTGTCTCAGAAATTATTGTAATAATAATATTGTTTGAAATTTGACAATAATTAGTCATTATTGGTCAAATTAAGAAGAAATGTTGGTTAATTTGTTTTGCATGTAGTACCTTTTTTGACTACCGGATGACAGTATAAGACTGTTTGAACCGAAGGATGGATAGTGAGGGAGCGAGCAGCGTATGTCTTTAAGAACAATGGGAGGGAGGCCCCTTGATGTGACATGGGCTGTCTCTCTCCAGTTCTCAAAATGGCGGACGCTCTGTGTGGTTTGAGCTCTTTAGCATACCATTTTTCACACAAAAGCTTTCAATTAAAAAAAAATCAGTAAACAAGTTCTCAGCTTCTTTTTGCAGAGAAAAACAACTTTTTACATGAAGGCAACCGTGAATTTTGGGGGTTTGACAAAACGTAAGTTTTATCACCGCGATCGGCCTGTTAGCTTAGCTCGTAGCTTAGCTTCTCAGCTTAGCTGCTTTTAACGATCCAAAAACGTGATTTTGAACGATTAAAATGGATTTTAAAGAGAAAGGGAGGGGTCAGTAAAGAACACCGGAGTTGAGCCTTTTGTCATCCAGTGTCTTCAGTAGAAAGAGAGAGACGCAAAGAAACGATAAAGACGATAAAAGAAAATGAGGTTGATTATTTTCATTTATGCGATTAATTGATTTATTGTTTATTTTGACAGGCCTAATTTTGATGATTTATTTTATGATGAATACCGAGAAAGCAACTTCAAGTTTGGTTCAGGCAAGACATTTCTCACATTCAGTATTTAGCGAGTGACCGACAAGCTGATGAATACTGACAAAACAACTATTTACCAGGTTTTAACTATTTCATGTTCAAAAATTGATCTTGTATCACCATGCCTCGTCTCAAATGGTTTGACCTCTGTGTGGGTCACTCGCTCTGTAAAGTAGGTGACAGAAGCCTGCTTTGTTAAATGTATTTCTTATAATGTCAAGGTTTAAACTTGGTTTCGTCTTTTTTTTAAAGACAATAACCCCTAATTTGTGGGGAGTGGCAATGTTACACTGAATTTTCAGGGTTATTATTATAAGAAAATGTGAAAAATTAATCCAAACAACCAAAAAGCAGCAGTGACTACGTTTTGTTTGTTAGATAATGAGAAATAAATAAAAAAAACTAGTAATGATTTTTCTTCTTTCTCATACCTCCTGCACAGATGCTGGAGGGCTCCGCTGCCAGGATCTCAATACAGGACTTCTTCAGGATCTGAGAAGATGTTCAGATAAACACAACGCAGTAACAGATCAGAGCCGTCCATTCTGCTCTTGTTCTGTAACCTTCTCCTCATTATTAACAGATTCATACATTGGAAGGTTCAGCCATGAGGGCATTTATGTGTTTTTGCCTCTCTTCATTTTCTGCACAAGAGCCACAACAAATATTGTGATCAAAGCTGTGACCCCTAAATAGATGGCAGCCTAATTCATGACCCTGTGGCACTTTTACTTGACTCAAGCACACGCAGCTGCTTGACCTCACCTCGGTGCTTCACTTTGCTTCTTCTGATGCTTAATTAAAATTTTAATGAAATATTACAGAACTTATAGACAAAACTTAAAGTATGAATTAATTTCCTTCCATTTCAATGATCTGTGTTGTGTAAATGTGTGTGAGCACAAAACAAATGCTTACTGAATCAATAACTCCTTGCAGAGCCTCGAATCCGTCATTCACAGGGAAGACGTGGTCCTTACTGTCAGCAATCTTTGCCAGCTGTAAAGGAAACCAATTATTACCACCACAGATCACAAGCAGAACATTTAATCATTTCATATGAGTGAAAATCATATTTGAAATGAAAATCTGGCTCCTCTTGTGAGGGAGTGCACGTTTCCTGCCACTTTCCACTTGCAAGAGTTTGAAACTAAAATAATTTAAAGCTGGAAGTAGCTTTATACGTAATCATAAATGTTGCTGCAAAACCTTGTTCGATGTGTTGGTGCACAGAGTAAAGGTTGGGAATGACTCTCAGCTACTACCACATCAACATTTAGCTCATCATGTATTTTGCTAACAGACAAACAGAATGGCAAAGTAACTTAATGCCAACATTTCATGTGTTGGGGATGTATCACCAAGTTTTAGATAAAAATCTGCTAAAGTGATGGGATAAGAGCCATTTTATGTGTTGGCTGAGGCTGCTCGGCTGCGGTGGCCATCTTGAATCGAGTTGGCTGTAAAAGGTAAGCAGTTGTGGATGTTCGGCACATTCAAGGATTATTTTTCTGAGAGTTTTGCAAAAATCCAGCCAGTCATTCACGAGATATTTTGCCATTCCTACAGGTAAGCTAACCCATGCACACATGCAGACACATGGACAAAAAGGTATTTTTGCCTTTGCAGCAAAACAGCAGATGTAACAAAAAACAGTGAATAGCTTTAGAAAAAGTTGAGAAAAAAGGAAACATGAAAGACATAAACATATTCGTTTGTCGGAGTACTACAGTGATTCAATCCCAAAACATGCAAACATGCAGAAATAAATATTCTGTTATATGTCCTTTTTTAAATCATCTAATTTACTAAAATGAGTTAATGAAGCTTGATTGTCAAAGCTTTGGAGTTTATTTACTTTTTAAATAATTCTGTCACTGTTGAGCTTTGATGCCATGAGACTAAACCTTCAGAAACACACACCTGGGTCTCATTGAAGTCCTTCACCCCAACGCAGTAAACCGAGGCTCCAAGACTCCTGGAGCGGTTTGCCTGTCAGGTACACACACACACACACACACACACACATGCATGCACACACACACACGCATGCATGCACACACACAGATTCACAGCATAAACAGGAAGAAGCTTAATGCCTGGTTTTAATTACTTTTACTACATCACCCAAAACATTGTGAAAAAAAAAAAAAAAAACGTGTTCGCTTCAATTCTAAGAAGATGTTACAAGAAGTTGAGCAACACTGTGTTTCAGCTGCAATAATAATATTGAAATGTTACTTAACACTAAAAATGTCACACAAATGTCTGACTTTTCCAGGTAATTGTGGAGTTTGTTGGTATCAGACGAGACCTCCTCCAATTTCTTAGAAGAAGATTTTCAGCTACTCGGAAGCACAAACTGTTTCAGCCCCTGCTGTCAACATGTGAGGTTTAAAACCAGGAACTTAGTCTCATCAGGGGCCTCAGTCGAGCCCAGAATAGATCAAAGTAGTATTGGCAGTGTTTTATCTGCTCCGACAGATGTTCGGTCATGTGCTTCACCTGGTTCCAGGTGTTTTTTATTCTCACCTCCCTCTCTGCGTAGTAGAAAAGATCCTCGTGCAGCTCTCCGTCTGTCAGAGCGATGATAACACTGGCAGTGCGATAACCTGCAGACAGGAGGATTCTGGTCATCACCAACACAAACTCACTCATGTTTTACATCCTACATTAAATATAACCAGGTGTTTGTGCTTTATAATGAAAGATTTCAAAATATTCAAGTTTTGTGTATTTCAATGTAACGTGATATGTATTAGTTATTAAAAACAAGAATTTTTATCGTTATTTAATTGGAACTAAATGGTAAAATGCTTTATTTCTTGCGTGTCCTGATTAGTTTTTATTCCCATTTCTCATTCAGACGTTGAGTTTTCCTGGTTGTTCTCGTTCGTTCATGTTTTCTGTAGGTCCTTCTCCAACTAATTACTGCAACTTGTACAAAAAAAAGGGTTGTAAGCTCAATCCTCCAGGTAGATAATAACAAAAAAGGTTAAATTGTGTCATCTGGACCAGTTTCTTTAAGTGAGAAATGTTTTGTCCCCCATCCAGAGGACTTCCTCAGTCTACAGCCTGTCAACCACATCTGTCCCACAGGTAACAGCCTTCGCAGCTGGCAACATTTAATTGTTGTACATGATGATTGATTGTTTTGTGCGTGTTTAAATCCTACTTCTGAGATTCCAACAGGAGTTTGGCTTAAAACACAGCAGTGAAGACTACCTATGGGACAGATCTGGTTGGAGACTGTAGACTGAGGAAGTCCTCTGGATGGGGGATGAAATGTTTCTCACTTAAAGAAACTGGTCCAGATGACATGATTTAACCTTTTTTGTTGCAACTAATACAGTTTCTATCTGAATCACTGAACAAACCACCACATTCTTTTGTGAGGTTTAAAAAGTTGTTTGAAGAAACTTCAATGATGGTTACAGATGCATAAATAACATCTGTTCACTTCTAATCCGAATTTGAAACACTGAAAACAAAATAAAATTGAAGATGACATTGAATATTTAACCAAGATCACATTTTTAAACATAGATTCAGAATGATAAAATGAAAAAGACCCAAAAGCAGCAAGAGGATTTCCAACAACACTATTTTTGGCAAGTGGCATAATGTTTTTTAATTAGTCCATTTTGTCTTTTACAGTATTCTGGTTACCTTTTCACAAAATGTACTTTTGTGCAGATGTAGCTCTACATAAAACCACTGCACCACCTCTCCAGAATCTGCTGAACTCTGCTGAAGGACTTTTTCTGTAAATCACGACATTTGTTTTGACTTACAAGAAAGGACATCTCGTCTTTCACTATTTCTGATAACCTGCATCACCTACGAGCCTGTGAGAACATTTTTACTTCCTTCTCATATTTCTGTCCTGCTTTGCTCAGATAAAAAAGTAGTTTTGTAAATTTGAGGCAGGTTTGAAGAACTTCGGCTTTATAAAGCTTAAAACTGAGAGGAGCTTTGAGGAGTCGCTGTATTTAAAAAAAGCATTCAAATATTCCTCGTTTGTTTTCCTCTTACAATGATGGTATCTAAGCTGTGCTCAATACTTGATAATTATTCTGATAATATGATTAAATAAAAAAATTATGTTCAAATCCCCAAATTTTTGCAACTTTTACATTATCAACAGCGCGAAACAATCAGCTGCAACAAGAACAGTCATATTTCAATTTTTTAAATACCAAATAAAAAGTTTATTTGGAGCGTATTTTCTTTATTTAGACACCATAATTAATAGCTTTAATTCTTTTATTGCTGACTCATATATTTGTACTCACTCTGTAACTGAGTGAAGAACATGCATTTGAAATCAGGTGGTTTCATATGTGATAAAAAATAAAATAAATCTATCAATAAATGATTGATGCAGCTGAAAATAGTGGTTTGCATTTATCAGAATTTTTATATTTGAAGCTTTTAAATTTTAATCAAATTATTTCAAATTCTCATTTGAGTCTCCACAAAGTAGGAACCACTGATTCACACACACACACCAACTACATCAAAGATTCATTCATTCATTCATATTGTCATTAACTCAGATGGTTGTGTTTGTCTGCAGGTAATACACACCTTCTGTGTTTCCGTAGTAAATCTGCTCACTGGCCTGTGGAAAAAAGAAAAGTTGGACTGAAACAGAGCTCTTTCATCAGCACATAAACTAAAATAAGTTAAAAAAAAAAAAAAACTGAATTCTTAAAATAAAATATTGGAAAATATTAATTTTTCTGAATTATTTATCCCTAAACACTTAACGGCTCAATAGAGTTAAAAATTATAGTTAATTTTTTTTGAAGTGGAGTTATGTGCAAAATTTATGAACAGTTTCTTTTTCCTTACCTGCTGTAGATATCTGCTTGAACAGTTGCAGTTTGGATAAATAGTTAAATATTAATTGGATGGACAACTATTTTGATTTTTCATAAAGAAGAGTCTCTTTGGTAACACTTTACAATATTTAATTAACTACTAGAGAACACCTCAGGAACAAATCAGGAGCTAATGGGTAGTTAAACAGTACTTAATAGGAAACACACAGCCAAGCCTTATTAGGGGACTACTGGTTTGTTACCACAGAAACATAGCTAATACGACAGCAGTACGAGATGATGAAACTGGTAATGTCTTTCATCAATAGGTTTACAAAAGAGAAATCCAATAAAACCAGTAATCACTAGGAAACAGCTTTTTGACAATTACAAGCTGTGACCTCACTGGTGCAGGGTTTATTCAGAACCCACATGGAGAATTTCTCCTCTGTTTCTGTGGTAACAAACCAGTAGTCCCCTAATGAGGCTTGGCTGTGTTTCCCAGTAAGCACTGGTCAACTACCCATTAGCTCCTGATTCATTCCTCTTTGGTTTCCTTGGTGACTACCCATTAGTTCTTGATTAGTTCCTCTTCATTTACAAGGTAACCCTAATAAGGCTTGGCTGTGTGTTCCCCAGTAAGTACTGGTTAACTACCCATTAGTTCCTGGTTTGTTCCTGAGGCGTTCCCTAGTAGTTAATCAAATTCTGTGTACCTTATTCTAAAGTGTTACCCTTATTTCTCCAAACTGAGGTAGTCTAAGGAGTTGTTTAAAACGGGTAAAATATTACTTGTTCAGAACATTTCCACATACCTCCAGTTTAAAACATCCATCGTCTTATCTGTGCAAGTATTTATAGTTTTTTTTAATTATGAGATGCTTTAACAGTAAAAATGCATATGTGTAAATTAAATTAATAAGCCTAAACAAAGGAAGTCAGCTTCTTCTGTTTAAGTTGAACTAGCAAGCTTTGTTTTACGATGCAGCATGCTGTGGATCAAAGAACTCCTTCCTGCTTTAATGAAGCCACCATGTGGTGCTCTGGACTGAGAGGAGCTTGTTCTGGACTCAGACTAGAGATAATTCATCTCTGTGTTGGATGCAGGCCACTTACCCTCAGGATACCTTCGTGCATGAAAGTGTCACCTCCTGGACGAACGTCGTGGAGCTCCTCCAGACCTTTACGGATCCGTTCCCTGTGCAGAAACACAGAGGGACAGCCCACAGTGCTGATAAGGCTATCTGATCAAAATATTTAGTTTGTCTGATTCATTTGTAAACACGTTTCTGTATTAAAACCAGACGCAGCGAGGTTTGGTAACAAAATAATGGCTTCCATGAGGGCAGTCCTTTCGGAAAATCCAAGCAATGTGCAGCAGCTGTACAAACCAGAAGAGAACTCGTGGTTGTTGTCCTGCAGCTACCGTCATGCAAATAGACAGGAAGTGAATGATTCTTACATAACTCATGAAGAAAACGCTGAACCTGTGAGAGCATCTGATCATTCTGGAAATATAAGCTCAGATCTGTCCATAATACGTCAAACCGACATGATAAAGTAGTTCTGCAGGCTGACGCCACCATCATAACCAGTCTCTGTGTGAGTTTTCTTTTTGGTCATAACAACCGTGGATCATAAATCCAGTAAATCTGTCCAGTTCTACAGCATCAATCATTCCTTTCAGCTGGATCGCAGAAAACCAAAGAATTAAGAGCGACTTGAGAAAACGTGCACCCACCTGTCTTCTGTCAGGCTCATCAGGATCCGGCCCTCAGTGGAGAACACAATGAAAGACATCCTCAGCTGTGGGCTGGAGTGAGAAGAGAACAAGACTACTGATCAGCAATCCTTTCTCTGTAAACCACCTCCAGAGGTCACTTGATGTTTACCTTATGAATTTATGAGCTAGGTGCTCGACAAAGTTGTAGATTTCATTCCAGTGATTCTGTACACTCCCAGATCTGAAAACAGACGTGATCAATTCAGGTGTATAAAGTGTAATAAATAATAAGGGTGTATAAATAAAAGCAATCTAAATATTAATAACATTGCATAAGTTTAATCTGTTCCTGTAAATCAATTTGATTATGGTGATGAGAACAGTTAGGTAGAAACACTTCTTACATCCTGCTTTAGTTACACAAATTGTTCAATGACAGAAAGTTGTTTAAATAAAAAGGTTTAAAGTCCTCCGATCCTCTCAGGAGCACAACTTCAAATCTGACCCAAAACCCAGTAAGTTATTTCAGCTGGGGAGTCAGACTGGCAACAGATGACTGTTTTCTAGTCATATGACATCTGACCTTTTGCCGTCTCTCTCATTTTGACTCCGTGTTTTTATTGACTTGCACAGTGGTGGTGACAGAGGGACAAAAGACTCAACTATTAGGGTTAGTACGTGTGTCACTGCTGATTCTTATCAAAATAACATTCATTCAAACCATGCTTTTATAAGTCGCTCAAATTCCATTTGTAATGACATAAGGCCCTAAAAAAACAGCTCTGCCGAGATGTCGAACATCTGGATGAAACAGAGAAAGGCGGTGCAGATATGCAGAGGTCAGGGAGATTCTGAATGAGTTCAGTGGGGGCAGGTGAAGGGTATGGTAGGTAAAAGACAAAGTAAGGTCTGCTGGGAGAAAAAAATACAGTAAAAATAAAAAGCAACTTTTCTGGCTAACAAGGACATACCTGAATAAGTGCAGATAAAACAGAGCTAACACAAACATCCTTACAATGTAAAATGTCTTTGTTTGTCTTCCCACTGTGTCTGTAGCGAAGGACAAGTGGAAAATTTGTCCCCAGCCTCTGACTTGATGAGTCCTCTCCCATCACATTTCTCAATAAACATATTGTATTCAATTTTTATTAAATTTAAATTTTTAATCAGTCTAGTTTAATATCAAAGTTCATGTTCAATAATCAAGGTATTAAAAAAAAATCCAACAAGATAAGTCAGGTCCTCTAGACGGTTTCTTTATGTTGAAACAACTTGTCTTTCATCCAAAAGACTTCATCAGCCCAAGGAGCCACAACAATCTCACTCTTATAAATAACACCTTCAGTGGGTCAACCAGTTTGATGGTGCTCTGATGGTTTCTGAAGTCCGCATTCTCCCTGAAAGACGAAACGTTTCAACAAAAATAAACCATCCAGATGACCTGACTTAACTTTGTTGGATTTTTTTTTTTTACCTGGATTCTTGAGCATGAACTTTGATGTTTTGAACCACTTTGGCTATGACGGCCCCAGACAAGTCAGAGGGGGAGAGAGTGGACTTCAGAAACCATCTTATCACCATCAAACTGGTTGACCCACTATATGAGTGTGCTACTTATGGGACTGAGTTTGTTGTGGCTCCTCGGACTGATTAAGTCCTTTGGAAGAAGGACGAAAGGTTTCAACAAAAACAAAACATCCAGAGGACCTGACTTAACGTTTCTAGTTTAATAATGTTTTGGTTTGCAGTAAAAAAAAAAAAAAA